AGGCAGCCCTGATAAACGGACAAGTATTTCTGCTTTATGAACGAACATATTTCGGTCTTAAAAATTCAACTAATTAGGACCTTGTTTTAAAGTCGAAAGATACCATTCCTACGGATATAAAACCCGCGGACGTATAAGAAAGGTTAGGTTTGTGCATGTTTTTATAAACTATATTTGAATCTACAAGGGCGTAAAAAATTAATGAGGAGCAAAAAGCGCTGCGAAAAGTTAATGCTACTTAATTGGTGATTTTTTACCGAACGTATGTTTACAGACCTTCCAAAAGAACCCCGCTGAAAAGCCAGCATCCTGACATGACTGAAATATTTTTGAATTAATTTGCGCGGTAATAACTATTACAACGCTGCTTAAGTAATCTTTCTAAACGAAAAAGCCCCCTTGAATTTCGACTGAAACATTTCCTGAGATAGCATATCCCCCTTAGGTCATCTAAACTGACCTGTCGACTGGCTGACCGTAGACTGTCTGGAAACCTGCTCGGTCAATCAGCTGACTGTATCAGAATCAGTGGATTCTACGCGTTGTAGTTGGTAGAGCTGTCATGTTGACCCGAATGGCATTAAACACATGGCTGTCAGTCCGACCCTCGTAGATCAGGTGGTCAGAACGTTGACTTGCCCTTCCTGTGGTGGGTCCGAATCCCAGTGAGGACGCCGAACATTTCACAATAAGTCAGCTTAATTTATTTGTTGTCCCTCTCCGAAACAGCGATCCTTGGCTTTTTTGCCACCGCAGTCTAGCTGAAGGTCAATCACTATTTATATGTCTATCCACCCGTAGCCAAGTTCGTGAGTTTGTGGTAATTTCGGATAGAGAGTTACCCTAGTCCAAAGAGGCGGGACCCATGTCGCTGTAACAGGTGGGGTGAGAAGGCAGCCAATAGGAAATGTCTGTTAACCGGGGCTACTTGCACACACGTGAGTACGTACGGACATCAACTTCGTGAGTCTGCATTATCCGTTTGATTGGTGCAGGGCGGACTACGATTGGTAGCTGACGCGACTGTGTCCACACTCCCTCCATTTTAAACAGTGATCGTTGGAGTTCACAGCTGGCGTGACAGACAAGTCAGCGCGTCCCAAAAAATCAATTTTACACATTCCAACTGTGCGTTGGGGAGGGGGGGGATCGAAACACTGGTACGGTGCTTGCATGTACAGCCAACCCAGATAGATGAGCGGTTTTTATGTCAGCAAACTGATGGCAAGATAGGCAGAGCTCGCTGACTCGCGAGTACATTTTTATTGCAGATGGGAAAGGCAGATTGCACCCACAGTGATAATGCCACAAAGCAAGGTCATGCCTATAAGCAGCACATGCACTTGGAAGTTGGACATTGAACCATTTTTATCGTATGACCCAGAACTGCTCATGCAACCTTCGCAAATACCCATGTAGCCTTAAAAAGATTCTCGACGGTTCTCAAATTTGCCTTTCGGCCAGCTTTCAGCATGCACTCAGGAAGGGATTAATAGCAACAACTTGTAATGACCATCGCCAAGCGAGGTCAGCGCGTTTTAGCCTACTATGCGGCTATATCGCACTCCTTTCAAGGTATGGGTTAATGTCTGAAAATTCTTGCGGCAACAGAATTTACAATAAAAAGAAGAAATTAAGGAAGATAGACAAGGAAGAGGATTGCACGGATAAAGTATAGGTAAAGCTGGCCGACTGTCTCAGAATACTCCACGCAGGGGGGGGTTCATAAGTAACCGTGACCTCGGACACCTCCGGCCAGTCGGCACACATATCCCTCGACTGTAAGGCTTACCTAAGATCCAAAAGGACAGCCCAGCACTTCGTCCAATTTTGAGCATGCTTAGCTCTCCGTATCATGCGATAGAAAAGTGGTTAGTGGAGGAACTCAGGCCCGTACAGTGTTAGCTAGCATCACGTAGCTATCGAAATACTTACGAATTCATTGAGGATGTCAAAGATCTCAGCTTTAACGACGTGATAATGTTCTCGCTTGACGTCTCATCACTTTTACAGACGTCCCGGTTACCGAGATTCTTGATAACACCTGCGAATTCCTCTCAACCACTCAACCAGAAATTGGAATTCCGACACACAAACACACACACACACACACTCAAAGAGCTATTATTATGATGCACATTAAATATGCAGTTCTTTTTGACAACCAACTCTATAGTCAAATAAACGGCGTTGCTATGGGATCGCATCATGGACCTCTCCTAGCCGATGTCTACATGGGCAAGTTAGAGGAATTTCAACTAAGCGGTCAGATCAATAAACTTAAGCATTATGGTCGCTGCCTCGATGTCATCTTTGCAATCGCCACCACAGCAACCGAAATAGCTGCCCTCTTAAACGCGATAATTCAAACACTTCCGCCAAGCAAATTCATGTTGGAAACAGAAACAGTTCTTTCACAGATGTCCTTCTAAGAGAGAGACCTGACGGTAGCGTCCGTACGAGCGTTTGTCTGACGAAAACCTAGTCTGTAACATACACGATCTTATGCAGTTTCGTATCCGTTCAACAAGAACGAAATCCAGTTCGGTGTTCGGTGCAAAGGGTTGGAAAAATTTGTACTGCAAATAGCATAGAAGGGGAGATCAGAGAGATCGAGACTTACCTCATGAAAACGGATAATCTGACATGTTTGTTGCAAAGAACATTGTCCCTTTTCATAAGGACGTTGCAAGTGAACTAGTATGAAGACGCCTTGATCAAGCTGTCTCAAGAACCTTCCCAGCATCAAGGATTCTAACGCTATTCGCTATTAACCTTATTTTACGCGGAGAAGGCAAGTATGGATTGCCAACTCAGACAACATCAATGTACACCTACTCCTTTACATGAGCCCGTTGAACAGGTTAGATTGGTCGCACGATTGGGCGCTTATCCAAGAGAATATGGGAACACCTCCCGGCAGGGCTGGGGAAAGGCCTAAATAGGAGCATTAACAGCGCCATTCTCGCACATGTTGTTGATTCTGGACATTATGTGGCCCCCAGTGACGCTTTTCGTGTGATTCACAAGGTCCCATCGAGCCACCCTAAACTACTGGATCAGCGCCTGTTAGCAACAGCAGAAGCGATCGCCATCACGTTACGAAAGTCGGTCTTGTGCGCACAGAAGAACCACGTTCAGGCTCCGCACTTTTCGTGGTAAAAAGTCGAGTAGCCCCGCAACTCTCCGCGCACTTCCGCTCTCGCCTCGTCCCTGGCATTGACTGTTATTACCTCCCTTGCCCTATTTTCCCATACCATGTCTGTGTTTTGTCGGCGAAATTTAACCGATTTCTCTAATCACGGACGTGTTTTACTTGACTGCGTTCCCAAATTGATCGCATTACTGACGTTTCGGGTGCCTGATCAGCTCTCAGCGTAAGGTAGGTTGAACTCCATCTTCTCCAAAAGGTGTGTCTATGATCTCACACTAGCATTCACGTAGAAAATGCTTGACTATTTTACTCCTACGGTGAACGAATTCTTCCCTGTAACCTGATTGGTTCTCATTCGGGTGGGATTGTTGGTTGGCTGAGACGGGAGGTGGGGGGCGGGGGGGGGGGAGACGAGATTAAAACTGTCTCTCCCACAACTCGAACCTACAAGCATTTGTTTCTGCACTGACCCCAAATCCCATAGCAGGCATTTTTATCAGGAAAAAGGACGCTTACCACAAACACCGCACAGAGCACACCTCCATGGGATAACATCAAGATGGCAGCCATGAAGAGTAGGGCTCACGCACCATCGACCGATGCGCCTAGATGCCCTTTAGCACACAAACACAGCTGGTCCCCAGACGGTTTAATATCTCACACCCCCACCACAGAGTCGGTACACGGCATCCGCCCAGCCGAGACAGCCCGGCCGAAGCAATCTGCACCTTCGACCCTGCATCCGCTTGTTTGGGACGAACCGCTGGTGGAGATGACCAGAGTTAAGCTCTACGGCATAACGCTGCTCTGGATGTCGATTGTGGTAATGCTGTTTGTGAACATTCTTTTTGGCGCCTTCGCACTGGTGTGCAGTCTCAGGGCCCACCGTCTCCTGCAATCGCCGGCATCTGAGGCGCAGCAGCAAGCCGCTGCTGCTGACTCCTGGCGAGTTCCCTTGGGGCATCTACAGACCGCACGCCGACTCGGACGAGCGGCCTTCGCGTTGAATTCAGCAGGCATTCTCATCTCCATGCTCGCCCTCATTTTTGCCTTCATGTACTTTGGAACGGAGCCGGAATCGAGGAAATCCCTTCTCAGCGTCATACAGGCCTTTATGCAGCCCAGTGCCGTCAATCATCCTGCCCTAGAAAAAAGCCCCTCGGTCGGATCTTATTTCGCAGCAGATAAGACCCAGTCTAAGCCCTAACTCCAATCCCTAACCTTAACCCTGACCCCTAACCCCAACCCCTAGCCTCTAACCTCAATCCCTAACCTTAACGCCTAACCCCTAGCACTTACCTCTATGAGGTACGGCTAAAAAATAGGATCTTGCCGGCTCCTTAACCCAACTACGATGGACGGCGATTTGATGAACTGGCCAGATTCTGTAGGCGCTCTGATGAAGGGGATCTGTAAATTATGTTTTTACTCACGTTGGTGATGACCACTGCCAGTTGCCGATACATGTACCTGCTTAGGCCATCTTTTATGGGTATTTTTGAAATCTCTTGCCATCTGTATAATACCGAATCACCATTGATCTGTTTTTTGGCTTTTAATATTAACCTTTTTTACTAATAATTTTTAAATCACATTTTTTGCTCTTCAAGTCTTTTTTAATAAACAGATGGACTGTTCAAGTAAAATAAAGGAGGAATAAGTCAGGGCCTTTTGAAAATGTAGTCGAGCCCGATTCTGAGACTTGTGGGCAATAAGCTCTAGACAAAGGCGGGGTAGTCGATATCTCTGGACTGCATATAATGCTGGGATCCGTTACGCCGTAGATGCGACTAACATACCGGACGAAATATAACTTGAGGGAAGCTGCGTACTCGGACTAACCAATGAAATGATTTGAAAACGCTGCCCTACTGATCCGTTGAAAATACGGTTATCGGACGTGGGAGGAATTGGTGATGTAAGTTGTTTTGCAGCCTGTGTGAGGGAGAAATTTAGGTCATTTTAGAGACTAAAAAGTAGAAGCGTTAAGAGACCACACAATATAGCCAAGAGGGACCCGAGAACATACTTTGCAACAGCGAAAAATGTATACAGTACAGAGACTTGGTAATCGTAGCCTACTCGATTGGAACAGATGACTTTATGCAATACCTTTAAAACGCCTAAATTGGATTTTTTATGTCATTTAGAGAGAAACTTAATTTGTAGTTACATAGATGGAAAATTCTAGCATCCCAAAGAATGTGCGCCACATTATTAACCTCAAAAGCAACCAGCTTTCTGTTCCTCCCTACAAAACTCGGTCTTTTTACCTTCCCCGGCGACCAAATAAAAGACTATAACTAGACCCGTTTACTTAGATGGAAGGGGACTTCCTGAAAATATCTGTTTGTTTTGATGAGTAAAGCGATAGTTTGAATTTTGCCCAAAAAGATTTACCGATAGCGCCTAAAGTAGGTAAACAAAAGAAACCTCTTAAAACCTCTTAAAGAGTTGGCCTTTGGAAAGAGCGTCAAAACTGCTAGAAAACGTCTTCCGCGTATCACGACATTTGCAGAGAAACATGCTCCACGTTTTGGGAAATTTTGCTGACAAAGTTAGGTGCAAATTTTTTTCGTAGTGTCGGCTGATTCTTAACGGAAACGCAGCGCATGTACCCTTTTGTCATTCGACGTAGCCTGGTTTGTCGTAAATTGCAGAATGGCAACGCTGCTTCCAAGTATTTCGTGTTTTACCCTTACCAACCAAGCGTTTGTCACCAATTAATTTAGATAAAAATCACCCACATGTTTGAATCAACGCCGCTCACATATATGTATACTGGCCTGGTGAGACTTCATCGGACACAAACGTCTGTCTGCCAAATCGTCTCACTAACTGCACATCTTCACATAACGCCGTCCCGCTATTCAGAGGTCAAGGCGGTAAAAGTGGCTGCTTGAGTAGTAGAACCTTCCGCAGTGATTTTCGAGACTTTTGCGGATTGGAATATACCTTATGTAAAACACACAGAAAAATATTTTTTCTTGGGCTTATGTTGTAGAAAACTGTGCTTCCTTTAAGGCTTTTAAAAACTTTTTGAACTGGATATGACGTTTTATTTGACGTGTAGCGTCTGCAAAATACAAACCGTCTGGTTTCTATTTGTGTATGCTCGTATATTCCCTCACGTCATTAAGAATATTTCACAAAAAGACTATATATTTTTTCGGTGGATGTGTACTCTGTTGTGTACTTTATAGTTTGGAGTACTAAGCGGACGGATGCCGTGCTGTGTGGATTGGCGTTTCAATGCCTTCAGATGACCTCATGATTGCAAATTCTCGTAAGCAGGAATATGCCCTTTATCAAGTACAGAAGTAAAATAAATCGTAATTCGCTACCAAATGAATGCAAGAAGTACCTTAAGCATGCTTTTCACAAAATACATTTCAAGATTATACGGGCACCGAAAATCCGCGAAAAAAGTTTTGCTACTTGAGTAGTCGTTTTATGTCAATTACACTTTGTGCAGGCGGTCGGGAAGAAGCACACCGTTGCATGAAGGGAATATTTCAGGACAATGCCACGGGATGATCAATATTATGACTTCTAACCGAACACATATATTCTAATTTTGGCCAACGTTTGAGGATATGGGTCAGATTCTGTGACTTCTTCGCTGCTGAAAAGTCGCGGCAGCACGCAGTAGAAGGCTAGCATTTTGGAAGCAGTTAGATCATGTTATCCAAGTTTGTGCTGTCATGAGAAAAGGCGGTGAAAGATAGAACGAAATAAGCGCTCCCCGGCGCAAGCCACAAGACCGACTACTGTTCCATGCTGTGTGGTATGTTGATTAGTAAACAGTGGACGAGTTTTTGACTGTCTTTTAAAAACTGAAAATAATTGCTACTCTGGCGGTGTTTTATAAATAACTTCTCAGACGTAGTAATTGATTTGAACTCTATACTAATCCTTCTAAAATTTCTTTCAGAGTTCAATTTTGAAGCAAATAAGCCCTTACAAACGTAGTTGAAAGAAGAATAAGTGCGTTTTCTTTCTTTGCATGAGTTCAACCTCGGTCACAATACATCCCAAAAAATCGCCAACCTCGACGGAATATAGGGAGGGGGGTCTACAACGGATCGAAAATTCCCAGCGTGGTTTCACAAATGCCGTAGCGGCAACGAGTGTTTCGAGAGGGAAGTTTGTAGAGGGTGGCTACATACCCCTAACAGTGCACTTTTGAAAAGCTCTGTTAAAGAAAACCCACGTCGGTGTCAGAGAAAGGTCTGAGACACTTGATGTTACTATTTCAACGGTGTCTGGCTATCTGATGCTGATTGGTAATTTGAAAAAGCTTGGTCGATGGGTCCTACGTGAACTCAACGAAAAGTAAAGAGTTCATCTTTCCGAGGCGTGCTCAATGCCCTCCCCAATAAATCCAAGCTGTTCACTTCTCGGACGAAAAATTACATGTGGCGAAAAGTGGGTCCTTTATGGCAAGGACAGTGGCTTGACCGTGACAAAGCACGCAAGCATTTTTCGCGACCGAAGCTACACCAGCAGAAGATTATAGCGACAGTCTCGTGGACTGCTACTGGTATTGTCCATTGCAACTTTCTCGGGGCTAATAAGAGCATCACAACAGAGGTTAACTTCAAGCAATTTGAAGAAATGTGTGTTCACCTAGGAAAAATTGCTGCTTGCAGCTGTACATCGGCGTGGCCCACGACAACGAGCGGTCACATGATGTCAGAATGACACTGCAGAAATTTCAGTGACTTTGAGCACGAGACTTTACCCCATACTCCCGAGCTTTCACTCATTGGGTACCATTTTTCCTAACATCTAGACACTTTTTGAGCAGCAAAACCTTCAAGAACAAAACCAAAGTGGAAGATTTATTCAAATATTTCTTAGGGTTAGATCCGGAGGGTTTCTATTAGCAAGGCATAAATGATCTCGTTCATCGAAGGCAGAGGCGCACAGACGTCCAGGGATCACACTTTGACCAATTGCAACTTATCTAATATTAAATCTTTTAAGGTTAGTGCTTGCCTCTGAAATAGGTCGGATTTTCCGCACATCCTAAATGCACCAATCAAGCTTGAAGATTCCTTGCTGTAATCGCAACTGGTTCACCGCCTCTTCTCTCTCCCCCCTTCCCTTCCTTCACTTCTTCCTCGCATTAGGCACACTCGCAAGTCCAACAAATATTCTTTGTCGTTTGTGTAACTTAGACGGATTTCTTATGGAACGGCCACGTGTAAAATATACAAAAGAGCATCAGAAATTGAACAGGAGACTATGAACTGTACGGCGTGCTGGAATTCCGCCTGTTTTACCACCTTCGCTCCCGTCCGAACGTGGTCAGGAGAAAAATTGTCTTAAATCTCCGCATCGGGCAAATTCACTTTGCGGGAATGCTTGTGAAAACCTGAACTGTATTTGACAAAAAATGTCTTCCCAGCTTCTGCAAATCGGGCCGCTATTAAAATTAGCCCTTTTAGTTTATAGTTCTGACTTTCGCCTGCAGTACTATGGGGGATGCCTATGGTCTGCTCGGAGAATAAATGAGCAACAGAGCATTCATCCCCTAAGTGGCTCATTCGCAAAATAAGTTCAGAATGTTTTCGCCTAGAATCATTTTTGCCAGTCACGTTTAAACGGTGGCAATCTTCCTAATGCACAAAACGAAGTTATGCAGATTTATCTGGAAAATGCCCACTTAGCCTAATGAGAGCACTTACAGAGACCAATTTTGTCTGGCCCAGAAATTAACTGCACAGAATAAAAGTGCAGAATTTGATAAAAAATGTCTCAACTCCCACAGGGCTGACTTCTTAAAGTAGGACGGGCCAGCTAAACACCCGAAATCTCTCTGGCTATAGTATGTCTGAAAATTTCTGAAGATCATTTGGTGAACATTAAATAATTTATTTTGACACAACTGGAAAAAAACTCAGTGTCCTCGGTGGGATTCGAACCCACAACAACCGGGGGAAGGCTGTACTCAAGACTTCCCCTTGTTGTCGTGGCCTCAAATCCCACCGAGTTTTTTCCAGTTGGGTCAAAATACACTTGCTCAAGAGGCAAGGCCGGGGTTCGCCGTCAACTGAGCACTGATAATTGGTATTTTGCGGCCGCGTATGACTGACTGCAGTCATGGCGGAAAAAACTCGCGTGAACTAGCAAAATGTGATTCATTACTTGTCACGAGATGTCTCAGTAATATCATTTTGTATAATATAGTTATTTTGGTGC